TAGAAGAAACATAGGTACCAAACTTATGGACCTTGGTCATAGAGATTATTTTATGAACTTCACCCCAAAGGCAATGGAAGTAAAGGCAAAAATAAATGAATGAGACTTATCAAACTAAAAAGCTTCTGCAGAGCAAAATAAAATGGCAAGTAAACAAAGAGGTAGTCAACCAGATGGGAGATGATATTTGCAAACAGTAGCTCCGACAAAGATTTAATTTCCAAAATATATAAAGAATTCATGCCCTGACAGGTTTGGCTCAGTGGATAGAGCGTCGGCCTGCAGACTAAAGGGTTCCAGGTTTGATTCTGGTCAAGGGCATGTACCTTGGTTGTGGGCACATCCCCAGTGGGGAGTGTGCAGGAGGCAGCTGACCGATGTTTCTCTCTCATTGATGTTTCTAACTCTCTATCCCTCTCCCTTCCTCTCTGTAAAAAAATCAATAAAATATATATATTTTTTAAAAAGAATTCATAAAACTCAACACCAAACAACAACCCAATCAAAAAGTGGGCAGAGGACCTGAACAGACACCTGTCCCAAGAAGACATACAAAAAGCCAATAGATATATGAAAAGATGTTTGACCACACTGGCAATTAGGGAAATACAAATCAAAACTACAATGAAATACCATCTCACACCTGTTAGACTGGCGATTAGCAACAAGACAAGCAATAAATGTTGGCAAGGTTGTAGAAAAAAGGAAACCCTCATTCATTGCTGATGGGAATGTAGACTGGTACAACCACTATGGAAAGCAGTCTGGCGATTCCTCAAAAAAATTAAGAATAGAACCAACTTATGACCCAGCAATCCCTCTCCTGGGTATATATCTGAAAAACTCAAAAGCATGTATCCAAAAATATATATGCACCCCTATGTTCATTGAAGCATTATTTGCAGTGGCCAATACATGGAAACAATCAAAGTGTCCTTTGATAGAAGACTGGATAAAAAGAAGTGGTACATATACACAATGGAATAATATTCAGCCATAAAAAAGGATGAAATACTGCCATTTGCAACATTGTCGGTGGACCTTGAGAATATTATGCTAAGTGAAATGTCAGTCAGAAAAAGCTAGGAACCATATGATTTCACTCATATGTGGGATATAAAACTGGAACTCATGAACACAAACAGCAGTGTGGTGGTTGCCAGAAGGAAGGGGATAGGGCAGTGATGGCGATAGCGAACCTATGACACGCGTGTCAGAGGTGACACGCGAACTCATTTTTTTGGTTGATTTTCCTTTGTTAAATGGCATTTAAATATATAAAATAAATATCAAAAATATGTCTTTGTTTTACTATGGTTGCAAATATCAAAAAATTTCTATAAGTGACACAACACCAGGGTTAAGTTAGGGTTTTTCAAAATGCTGACACGCCGAGCTCAAAAGGTTCGCCATCACTGGGATAGGGAGTGAATGGGGTCCTAACATATAGTGATGGGAGAAGATTTGACTTTGGGTGGTGGACGCACAGTGCAATGTACAGATCTTGTAACATAGAAACCCACACCTAAAACCTATATGATCATATTAACCAATGTCACCCCAATAAATTTAATTAAAAGGGGGGAATAAAGCATATGGAAATGTTAAGAGTATATAGATCCTTTAACCTGGCAATTCCACATAAGGGATTTATCTAATACATATACTATCACATACACTTACTTATTCATCACATAACATTCCACATATGTGCAAAACTATATGTACAAGGATATTCACTGAAAAATGGTGGTAAAAATAGAGTACAAACAACCTTAAAATTCATTAGTAAGGGACTAGTTAAATGACATATTTGTGAGAAGAATGTTTACAATAAGTTCATTAATTATTTTAGTTCTGGAACTTGGTTTTGTTTTTTAATAGTGATAAGAATGGTGCAGTACTAGGAAAGTTATGGAAAATGCTGTCAATTTTACTTTAAAATGAGAATCTGGTGTTTCTGTATTTTATTGTTTTCAGTAAAAGTTCATATGTGTTTTGGACTTTTTGAGAGAGAAAAACTGTACAGCCTATTTTAAAAATCAAGTAGACCTATAAGTATTGATGCAGATTCTACATCACTGTGGGAAAATCACCAAAATCTTTTGTTAACTGAAAAGCATGGTGCAGACAGTGCTAACAGTCTGTTTCTATTGTTTTAAAGAGAGAAGGATGGTATGTACACATACATGTACGTGTATACACATACAAACACTTGTATAGTCACAGAATATCTCTGGTAGACTACACAAGAAACTGGTACGAGTGGTGATATCTGAAGGACAAGTGGTCAGAAGTAAAAAAGAGACTCGCTGAATTTTTTCTACCATATGCATATACTGGCTTTTCAAAATAATTATTTCTTGCCTTTTTGAGGCCATGTTTATTGTTTTATGCAATATGAATGTTAGCAGAATCCCAGGTTTGCTCTTAATAACTGCATTTTAAAACCTGTTTTCACAATGAATATTTTCATTTTATTTGAAAATGAAATAACATAGAAAGGTATACGGTAAAGTCTCCTTCCCACCTGTGACTCCCATCTCTGCAGTTTCCCCCCACCAGAGATAACTACTATCATCAGTTTCTTATATAACTTCAGAGTTTCTCTATGCATATACAAGCAAATACAAATCTCTACTATCTTCATCCTTTGCCCTTTTTTCACAGATAGTTTACTATTACATAAACAATTTTTGCGCACCTGGCTACTTTCACTTAGTAACATACCTTAAAACCAAAATCACAAGGCACAATAAAAAACCAACCTGGACATATTCATAATTAAATACTCTGGGCTTCAAAGGATACTGTCAAGAAAGTTAATAGAGAACCCACAGAATAAGAGAAAATATTTGCAAATTATTTATCTGTTAAGGGACTGGTATCCAGAAGCCAGACACAAAAGGCCACATATTGTATGATTCCATTGGTAGAAAATGTTCAGACTAGGCAAATCAGTAGAGAAAAACTAGATTTGTGGTTGCCTAGGGTGAGGATGGTGGTTTTGGGGAGAAATGGGGTGCATGATATCTTCTTGGCTTAATGAAAATGTTCCACAATTGTTGTGACAGATGTACAACTCTGGAAAACCAATAAACTATATAAATAGGTGATCTATATGATATGTGAATTATATCTCAATAAAACAGTTTAAAAAATTAATAACTTGTATGATAAAAAGCACCAAAAGCAAAGACAGGAGACAACATACACACTGGAAATAAATTTGCAGTTCACATCAAAGACAAAGCCTTTTTTTCTCTAATTTATAACAAATTCCTGGAAATCGATAAGGACAAGAACCACAGCCCAAAAGAAAAATGAACAGAGAATATGAAAAGAAAATATAAATGTTTGTGAATTATGAAAGGGTTTGCAGCACAAGTTTTTTTTTAACCTTGATGATGTCCAATTACAGACATATACACACACACACGACTTATTTATTTATGTTTTTATTTATTAGCACCATGCTCTAACCAACTGAGCCAACCGGCCGCCCCATGTGTTTTTATTTATTTGTTGTTGTCATTGTTTGGGTTTTTGATGTCATATCTAAGAAAGCTTTGCCTAACCCAAGGTCACAATGATTCACACCCATGTTTTAGCTCTTACATTTAGTTCTATGATCCATTTTGAATTCATTTCTGCACATGGTATAATGAAGAAAGAAGTTACTCTGTATGTGGCCAAATTTAACAAATTTTTGTTATATGGCTTCTGAATTTTCATATTTAGAAAGGGCTGCTGCACGCCAAGATTATAAAGAAATTCTATGATTTCCCCTTTTTACATTTAAATCTCTAACTCCTTTATAATGTATCCTGGTATACAGTATGAGACACATATCCAACTTTTCTTTTCACCATGGCTTGCCAGTTGTCCACTGTCATTTATTGAATAGTCCATCTTTTTCCCATTGATTTGAAATGCTGCCTTTATTATATATATTTTTTAAATTAAACAGAATAATAAAAATAAAGTATAAATGGACGAGTAAATGTGCAAGAGTAGACAAGGAAATAAGACTGGAAACGCATGGGCTCCATGCTATCATTTGGGGTAGAAGAAGCTCTTTCACAACTTTCCCAATTTTGTTTCCATGGTTACTGATCTATTTAGATCTACTATATCTTCTGGAATTAGTATTAGCCATTGCATTTTCCCAGAAAATCACCCATCTTGGCTTTCAAATGTATTGCAAGGGAGTTGTACAAAGTACTTCTTATCATTTTTTAAAACGTCTTCATATTACTAGTTATGCTCATTTTCTCATTTAAGACTACATTTTTATGTTTATTTATATGTTATTTCTTTATATTCTTAATTTGGTTTATATATCTATTTTATTTTATTTTTCCAATAATACCTACTTGTTTATTTGTTGAGTCCACAGGATTTGGTTTTGTAGTTAATTAATTTCTGGATTTTTTAACATTATTGACTTATTCCGTCAGTTTCCTCTAGGTTTATTGTTATTTTTCTAGCTCATTGACTTCAAAGCTCAATTCACTTTTATTTTCAGTTTTAATTTACTGTTATTGAATTTATTGGGTGACATTAGTTAATAAAATTATACAGGTTTCAGGTGTACAATTCTATAATATATTATCTATACATTGTATTGTGTGTTCACCACCCCAACTCAAGTCTCCTTCCATCACCATTTATCCCTTCTACCTCCCCTACTCCCTTCCCTCTGGTAATCACCATACTACTGTCTGTGTCTGTGAGGGTGGATTTTTTTGTGTGTTTTTTTGAATTTGCTTAATCCTTTCAATTCATTTACCTTTAAATCTCACTTTTTTATCCAATCATATCATATGTAGTTTATACCCACCTATGTGGTTTGAATATTACAAATAAATTGTATTATTAATACAAAAAGAGGGAGGAGAAAAGGAGAGAGAAAAAAGAGAGAGAGATTACAAGAAGACAACATTTCAAAAAAATCAAAATAATTGACCAGGGCCAGAACTAAGATGAAGTAAGACGCATTCACTTTGGATGCAAAATTTAATAGGATGCCAAAAAACCCAAACAACTCAGTAATCAAGACACATATATTTTTATGCAATATTTTGGAAAATCAAATTAGAAAATTATGGCCTGCAGGTTGGCTGCTTATTATATCAATAAAGTTTTATTGGAACCAGGGCCAAGATTAGGGTAAGATGAATGAGGCAAGGTTCATCAAGTGGAAGAGTGGATCTCACCTTTCTAAACAATCTTAATATTTTGGTCATCATTGATTTGTGTACTAATTTTTATTTTTGAAAATATGACATTAAAAATGAATCTCAATTACTGAGATTTTGGGCATCCTTTAAGTTATAAACAGAAGTAAGTTGCTTCACTTACCTCACCCAAGACTGAACCCTATAATTGACTCTTAGTGTCATTATTTTCCAAATTCCTCAAAATAAACATGAATTACTTTGATCATCAGGAAAAAAATAACTTAAAAAAAGACATCAAGACTCACTCAATGATGTTCCTAGTGGTTTCACCATAGGGCTTGCAGGAAATAAAAACTAGTGTGCAGATGGCCCTGCAGTTTCGAATGGCTTGAACCACCTGGTAATCTGAAGGCAGAAAGACATTGCTATTAATATAATTAAACTATCATGATCTGGGTTATCACAAACTCTCAACTGGCCAGCACCTAGAATTGGTGAGGAATAGAGGAGAAAAATGGTTCAGAGCCAGTCCGATGGGGGCACCGTTAACTTGGTATGGGAATGGGGGAACATCATGGGAACATCCAACTAGTTCTAAAGCGGGAAAGCTATTCATCCTTACGCAGTCCTGCCCGAGCTGGGTTTACCACAGCAACAATTAACTGCCCATTTTCCTTTGACTTTAGCAGCTGTGGCAAAATCTTCTCTGCTTGACCAGCGTAGAATTCACAGTTGGTGATGCCTGCAGAAGAGAGGCCCACATGACATAAATGAAAACGCATGCCCACCAGTGAGGTGCAGGGAGCTTTAGCTTTATAGAAATGTACAGGAGCCAGGGCTCTGCCATCTCCCTTTGGACCTAGCATACCTCTGAATAACAATGAAAGAAATGCTTCTGGACCTGCTTCATTTTTCCAATGTGCTTTCCCTTGCAATATCTCAATAGGCCTTTCCGCTTGAGAGGCCCGCTAGACAGTGTTATTTTATAATTGTGTGACTCACACAGCACATAAGAACCTATTCCAAGAAGAGAACCTTGACTTTTACTCAAGTGTTTTTCTGTTATTGAAGGTTTTTCACACAGAGCCACCAGAGTTGTGTGAAGGTGTGGTAGGGGGACAAAAAGATCTGTTTTCTGTATTGCAGTTTGGCATAAGATTTTGTTCAAAGAAAAGATTCTGTTGCTAAAAACAGCTTGAAACCTATTGTCTTATGTTCTGGTGCCTCATGAGTCTAATGTCAAGAGGCTCTTCTATATTATCCAAAGTTGTGACAAGTTCCCCTGCTATCAGTTCGGCTTATTTCTTCCCTCAGGCTCTGCTTCTAGATAGAAGAAAAGATTTAGCTATTGGGATCTCTTTCAGAAAACCATCAGGACCCAACTCTGACCACTCCAGAACACCCTCTCTTCCTCCCCACAGGTCATGGATACAGTATATGCCCTTTCCCCCATGTAACAGTTTTCATAGCATAGAAACAACTGCAGCTCTTCATTTTTCCCCAGACTGAGAGCAGTGTACCATTGAAGGCTGCAGTCCACCTGGCGTCCTCTACCGCCTGCTCCACCAATTCAATCCCAAGGACCTGGGAGGTATATTTAGCCAGAGAGAGACCAATCACACCTAGGGAAGTAAGAGAGAATGAGAGGAGGGTATTTTAGGGTTTTAAACTAATGAGTTTATGCCTGCACCACTACCATCACCTCCCCACCCCAGACCTAATGTGCTGGGTGAATGGAGTTTGGGAGCTAGACAGCATGTAGATTCGGCCCTGAGCTACCACTTACCAGTTCCACAGCAGATATCAAGGAGGATAGTGTTAGAGTTCACTCCACTCAGCTTCCCTATGGTCCGATACAGCACCTCTGCACCAGCAGTGTTAATTTGGAAAAAGGCATCTGGAGAGATGCGGATCTTCAAGCCCAAGAGCTCTTCAAAGATGTGGGGTTCCCCAAAAAGGAGCTGGAAGGGGGACTGCTGATGGCTGCAACGGGTCCTGGTGCTGGAAAAGAATTTTTAAGAAAGCATCTTGGAATGGTAGACCATTTTCTCTCTAGTGCTTGGTTGGAGAGGGAGACCCTAGTATCTCATTTAGGAGGCACACGCTCTATGGCATGGCCCTGAGAGCTCTGTAGGAATTCCCCTCTCATGGGATGGAGATACATGGAAACACTCTCTCATCTACAGTCTGGCCTGGGTTCCTGGACCTGTATGGTGTACGAGGACCAATACCACTTAGCCCTGATCCACCATAATCAGCAGCCCTGCCACAGCAATCCCCAACCCAAACTATGGCAAGCCATCTGCCTCGTGCTTGTTTGGCTGTCCCAGATTTACCTTTCCTGGAAGTACAGTGATGTCAAGTTACAGACTGCTCCTGGACCTTTGATGAAAAACTCCTTTACAGTTTCCTTCTGAACACAGAGCTCCTCCTGCCCAGACCACAAAATTAGGGATCAAGCAAAGACTCATCTCTGACAAGTTTTCTCTCCTGGCTCCACAATCATCAGCCCTGCAGTAGTCACACAAGAGGGCACATTTCTCTAATCCTATTATAAATAACACTTAACACAAAGCAATGTTCTATAGGACAAAAAATAATTTGTTTTCACATCTCAGTAGAAGCATCGCTTTCCTTGCTGGCTTTTGACAAATCCTATAACATAGATACATACTTTCTCTAGTCTGAGCCCCTTTAAAGAAAGTGTGAGTTATTCTTGTAAACAGGAGCTAAACTAAGCTTTTGTCCCATCACAAAGAAGAAATAATCTTTCAATTCCCTTCATACTTCTCCATTTCAAACATCCCAACCACTCACCCAAACATCACCTCAGAGGACATGAGTGATAGGAGAATGAAAAGTGCTAGGAAGAGAATGAGCATGGTAACTGAGTCCTTTATTTGAGTTCAGAACATTTTACAATGCTTACATCACTACAGAGAGTCTAACCATTAGCTTAACACAGGATATATCACAATAAACTATGTTGGAGCTATAGAGTTAAAAGGCCAGGAATTAATGACTTAGGTTCAAACCCTAGCCTGGCTATTTTCTGGCTCTGTAACCTTGGGTACTTACATACCTCCATTTGCCCATTTGTGAAATGAGGATGACAATACCTCTCCTTTTCCCATGTACTTCACAAGTGGGTTAAGATGATCACACAAGTACAGGAATATTTTAACGTGTGAATGTTTGAAAGCTCCAAGTGCATTACAAATGTAAAGTAATTTTTGGGTTATGACATTTTGACTATATTCTAGTCTCTATTGAATTGGTTTTTGGATTTAGTAGAGCATCTACTAACTTCCATGGGCCAAATTCTTATGAAAATACTTAGGGGTCCTCACATGATAATTAACTTGGTAACCTGGCCTCAGTCTCCACGGTTTGATAATGCATTATCAACCCCTCTTCCCAACCCACACAGATATTCTGTGGATGTGCAGTTTCTGCTATCTGCTCTGAAACTTCCAAAAGCCAACTGTAGCACAGTAGTGGTGGGGTTGCTATGGAAGCTGCCCAGTATCATCTTGTGAGTCTCACCTTACTTAATTCCTGGGGATGGAAAGTAATGATGGCCATTGTGTGCCCTTGGCTATTGGTGCGGACTGTGAGCTCACGCCAGTGTCCACCTTCATGAAACAGAAGGCAGGGCTCCAATGGGGACTGTCGAAGGAATACTTCATAGTACTAGGAAGAAAACAGTATTATTACACAGGCAAAACTAACAAGTTACACAGATGATTATTTATGCTGAGTGATTGTTATGGACTGCATTGTAACCCTCCCCTCCAATTCACATATTGAAGCCCTAACTCCCAGTACCTCAGATTGTGACTGTATTTGGAGATAAGGTCTGAATATTTTTATCGATTTCAGAGAGGAAGGGAGAGGAAGAAAGAGATAGAAGCATCAATGATGAAGGAGAATCATTGATCAGCTGACTCCTGCATGCCCCACACTGAGGATGGAGCCTGCAACCCGGACATGTGCCCTGACCAGTAATTGAACCATGACCTCCTGGTTCATAGGTAGACTCTCAACCACTGAGCCACACTGGCTGGGCTAAATTGCTAACATCTTGATCTCAGACATTGCCTTTAGAACTATGAAGAAATAAATTTCTGTTGTTTAAGCCACCTAGTTTGTGGCATTTTGTTATGGAAGCCCTAGCAACCTAATAAAGTAATATAAGAAACATGAACTCTGCCCTTTCACCTTACAGAAGGACATAATCCATTGTATTCCAAACAGTAAGCTGCAGGAAGGCTTAGAGTTGTATCCTAAGTCTCGCACATAATAGTTGCTCAATAATTATTATTGAAAGAAGGCATGAATGAACAGGAAAGGTATTTTATTTGTATGTACAATCTAAGATTATTCTATATATAGTATGGAATACAATAATCTTCCATTTATGTGAATTTCTCCTGGCAGCAATTCCTAATTTACTACTCAGATGCTATGATTCTATTCCTACCTACAACTTCCTGATGTAAGCCCATGTATTTCTATATATAACCAGGTACCAATTATAGCATAGTTTAGTCGACTCCTTCATTTCCTCCTGGTGAACACAAGTCAAATACAAGCTTGTTGCTGCCACAACAGGACACATTGTCTGATTTGCTGGGTCCTTTTGTGTTTAAAATACATGTATTCTAGGTACACTGTATTTTCAAACAATCCCAAAATTATGTATAGAAGGGGAAGTTATACCAAAAAACAGTGCTGCCTTAGAGGGTAAAAATCAATTAAGGCTACACTTTATCACTTTTGCTATATCACATAAATGCAATACAACATATGCCTATCAATACTGAACGTATTTTTCAAATTTTGAGGTTGGTGATTCAAAGAAAAACTGGTTCAATTGTTGTTTACTGGCTGGTGGGTAAATAATTTTTTATTTTTGGAAACAAGATTCAAATGTCACTGAGGTTCTGGAAGGACAAGAAATTGAAAAACTGAGTCAGACCTGGAAGATAGTGGGTAAGTAAATATGAAATACAGCCTCTCCACGGTATGAGCTCAGGCCTCAGTATCTTCATTTATAAAATAGAGACTGAGATTCCTTTTCTCATATGGAAATAGGTATTAATAGTGGAGGGAACTATAATCATATTGTAATATATAAATGTATCAAATCAACACATTTACACCTTAAATTTACCAATGCTATATGTCAATAATATCTCTATAAAAATAAATTTTAAAAGGAGTGAAGGGACCTTCTGGTTAAAAAAAATAATAGCCCTCCTAAAAATCCTACTAAAATTATATAAAGGTATAAAAAAAAACATAAGCTTATTTAAACTCATTGCTCTACCAATTCTCCCTTCTTTCTCTCCTACACCATCATTTTCCTCCTTCCCTTACATTCTAAGGTTATACTATATATAGTATGGAATACAATATAATATAATATAATAGGATTTCAACATATGAAAACCTGGGGCACACATTCAGACCACAGCCACACTTATCATCTTCTAACATACCATATACCTGTAATTTACTTTATTGTGTATGCGGTTTTTTAAATCTTTCTCTCCCTACTAAAATGCAAGTTCTATGAGAAAAGGATTATTTTCTTCATTATTGTATCCTAAGCACCTAAGAATAATGTCTGGCACTTGCAGGTATTCAACAGTATATTTTTAATGAATAAATGAAAGAAATAACACAGCTAAAAGACAACAAGGGCAAACTAAATAAAGTCTTCAAAGATGGAAGGCATTTTTCCTTCATTGACTGGCTTATTTCACTTAGCATAATGCTCTCCAGTTCTATCCATGACGTTGCAAATGGTAAGAGTTCCTTCCTTTTTAGAGCAGCATAGTATTCCATCGTGTAGATGTACCACAGTTTTCTAATCCATTCATCTACAGTTGGGCACTTAGGCTGTTTCCAGATCTTAGCTATGGTGAATTGTGCTGCTATGAACATAGGGGTGCATATATCCTTTCTGATTGGTGTTTCTGGTTTCTTGGGATATATTCCTAGAAGTGGGATCACAGGGTCAAATGGGAGTTCCATTTGTAGTTTTTTGAGGAAACTCCATACTGTCTTCCATAGTGGCTGCACCAGTCTGCATTCCCACCAGCAGTGCACAAGTGTTCCTTTTTCTCCACATCCTCTCCAGCACTTGTCGTTTGTTGATTTGTTGATGATAGCCAGTCTAACAGGTGTGAGATGGTACCTCATTGTTGTTTTGATTTGCATCTCTCGGATGATTAGTGACTTTGAGCATGTTTTCATATGTCTCTTGGCTTTCTGAATGTCCTCTTTTGAAAGGTGTCTATTTAGGTCCTTTGCCCATTTTTTGATTGGATTGTTTATCTTCCTTTTGTTAAGTTGTATGAGTTCCCTATAAATTTTGGAGATTAGGCCCTTATCGGATATGACATTGGCAAATATGTTTTCCCACACAGTGGGTTTTCTCGTTGTTTTGTTGATGGTTTCTTTTGCTGTGCAGAAGCTTTTTATTTTGATGTAGTCCCATTTGTTCATTTTCTCTTTCGTTTCAAGTGCCCTAGGAGCTGTATCAGTGAAGAAATTGCTTCGGCATATGTCTGAGATTTTGTTGCCTTTGGATTCTTCTAGAATTTTTATAGTTTCCTGTCGTACATTTAAGTCCTTTATCCATTTTGAGTTTATTTTATATACCACATGATCTCACTCATTCATGGATAATAGAGACCATTATAAACTTTTGAACAATAATAGATACAGAGGCAGAGCTGCCTCAAACAGATTGTCAAACTGCAGCAGGAAGGCCGGGGAGGGTTGCGGGTCAGGAGGTAGGGGGGTAAGAGATCAACTAAAGGACTTGTATGCATGCATAGAAGCATAACCAGTGGACATAAGACATTGGGGGATAGGGGAGGCTAGGGGACTGTCTAGGGCGGGGGGATAAAATGGACACATATGTAATACCCTTTGTAATACTTTAAGCAATAAAAAAAAAAAAAAAAAAAAAAAAAAAAAAAAAAAAACAATAAAAAAAAAAAAAAAAAAAAAAAAAGATGGAAGGCAGACTGGAATGACAATTGACTTGTTAAAAGGCCAGGAATTAATGACTCTCTCATCTACAGTCTGGCCTGGGTTCCTGGACCTGGATGGTGTACGAGCTATCTGGATTGCCTATAAAGGGGACCTGATGAGATGTAAAGCTTGCCTGCTCCAAACAACCCTGGGAAGTCTCAAACTTGAAGGTGCAAGGCACTGGAGGAAGTAGATATAAGGTAAGATACGGGGCTAAAAACAAGGTCTGGTTGAAGTCTAGGCACAAAACTGGAAAACATCCTCATCCTACCAAGAATGATCATCCTCCTCTAGCAGGAGACTGGAGTGTTTTATTCTCAAGAGAAAATGAACCCACAAAAGCTCTGAATTTGGAGCTTACCAAGCACAATGGTGGTGGTAGTGGTGAAGTAGAAACAGAAAGTTTCAATGTAAATCTTCATTTTTTTTTAATTAAATCTTTATTGTTCAGATTATTACTTTTGTTCCTCTTTTTCCCCCCATAACTCCCCTCCTCCCAGTTCCCGCCCCACCCTCCGCCCTCATTCCCCATCCACTGTCCTCATCCATAGGTGCACAATTTTTGTCCAGTCTCTTCCCGCATCTCCCACACCCCTTTCCCCCCCAAGAATAGTCAGTCCATTCCCTTTCTATGTCCCTGATTCTATTATGATCACCAGATTATTTATTCACTTGATTCTTAGATTCACTTGTTGATAGATGCATGTTTGTTGTTCATAATTTGTATCTTTACCTTTTTCTTCTTCTTCCTCTTCTTAAAGGATACCTTTCAGCATTTCATATAATACTGGTTTGGCGGTGATGAACTCCTTTAGCTTTTCCTTATCTGTGAAGCTCTTTATCTGACCTTCAGTTCTGAATGATAACTTTGCTGGATAAAGTAATCTTGGTTGTAGGTTCTTGGTATTCATCACTTTGAATATTTCTTGCCATTCCCTTCTGGCCTGCAAAGTTTCTGTTGAGAAATCAGCTGACAGTCGTATGGGTATTCCCTTGTAGGTAACTGAGTTTCTTTCTCTTGCTGCTTTTAAGATTCTCTCTTTGTCTTTTGCTCTTGGCATTTTAATTATGATGTGTCTTGGTGTGGTCCTCTTTGGATTCCTTTTGTTTGGGGTTCTCTGCACTTCCTGGACCTGTATGTCTATTTCTTTCACCAGGTGGGGGAAGTTTTCTATCATTATTTCTTCAAATAGGTTTTCAATATCTTGCTCTCTCTCATCTTCTGGCACCCCTATAATTCGGATGTTGGTACGCTTGAAGTTGTCCCAGAGGCTCCTTACACTATCTTCGTATTTTCGGATTCTTTTTTCATTTTGCTTTTCTGGTTGGGTGTTTTTTGCTTCTTCGCATTTCAAATCTTTGCCTTGATTCTTGCACTCCTCTGGTCTGCTGTTGGGAGTCAGCATAGTATTCGTTATTTCAGTCTGTGTATGCTTAATTTCTAGCTGGTTCTTTAGCATAACATCGAGGGTCTCATTAGATTTCTTGAGGATCTCACTACATTTATCAGTGGCTTCTAGACAGTTCTTAAGAGACCTTAAAAGTGTGGTTCTGAACTCAATATCCTCCATTGACAGGTTTTTTTTTGTCTTCAATTTTAGAATTTTATTTTATTTTATTTATTTATTTTTATTTTTTTTTAA